GTGGAACCCAGTATTATCCAATATTATTAGATATACAATAATGTTGCACAGTATCTCAATAATGATTCTCCTAAGTCTCCCAAATACCTGTGTGAGGCCATGGTAACTCTTTTATAATAGCTAAATGTCGATCGAGTAAACATAAATTTGATTCCTGTTGTATTAATAAACTTTTTTCATTCGTAGCTAATGATGACCATTCATCAAATTTAATTTTTATTGTTCGACATGATGATGGTAAAGGAAGAAGATCACGAAGAATAAGATTAGCATCAATCACTAATGGATGAATAGTAAGTCGAAGATGTTGAAATTCATTAAATTTTTGTTCAATCGAACGAATATCTTTTGTAAGTATATCAACATATTCTCTAGTTGCATCTTGTTTTCGTATTAATTTATCTAATAATTTTCGTAGACGATCAAGTTCTTTTTTTAATTTATCTCGTCTATCATCGACAAAATCTTGACGTTTTTCTTCATAATATCGATCAATAGTTCGATGAGCGTCATCACGCCATTTTTCGAGTGCTACCAGATATGAAGGTTCGGTCAAAGAGACTTTATGGAGCCGAAGTGTAAGTCCATTGATTTTATCGATAAGTGGTGGTAGTCGCTCATTAATTTGATTAAATTGCTGTGTTAAATGATTACGACAAAAACAGTTATTACAACATATACAAACAGTACGCGACGGGTTTTTACATCCACCAACGGTACATGATCTTGACGACGTTGACATTTGTTTTGTTTGCAACGAAATCAATCGTGTAATGAAAGAGTGCGCGTTCAGCAAGCATATTGTTTGCACAAGAAACTGTCTCTAATCTTTTTTCCATTATGGTATTAAACAATGTTGAGAGTGATAGAAAAGAAAAACAATGTTGAATGAAATAATGAAGAAAAAGTATTCGTTCTTCAAATGGGCCTCTCTACATTCGACTGTCTCTCTTAGCTATCTATTAGTGACGGAACCAGAATGGGAGACTTAGGAGAATCATTATTGAGATACTGTGCAACATTATTGTATATCTAATAATATTGGATAATACTGGGTTCCACAATACCCTGGATTCCAACTTGTTAACCTTAATATCGTTTGCATTCATAGAACAGATAGGAAGCATATCACAATCGGGATATATATCCGCATCGAGCTTTATATCCCAAGTGGGATAGAAAAATGTATCCCGATCGGACTCATCCCGGCAGACGCATGCTCTATATCGGATATAGATCATGCGTCTGTACTGTAGGCTTAACTCAATATCCAATATCCGATACACGGTTTTATTTCGATGTGTATGGGTTTCACGGTGTTTTTTTCGTTGTGTAGTCCATGACTAAGTATTCACCTTAGAATATTTATCTTCTATAGCTAGTATTTGATCTCACTGAGATTAAAACCTAAAACGGACTCATTTCTAAAAAATAGATTAATATATAGTACAACTTGTGTATTTCAAGCCAGTATAAAAGTGGAAATAGGTTCTCTTCAGTTAATTTAATTTTAATTTGAGAAGTTGGCAGAATACAGGATAAATTCAAGGTGAGCACTGCTTCTTTCGAACATTGAATAAATAAACATTTCCATAAAAGTATAAATTTTTTTCCTTTTCTTATTTTGTAGTTTAAGAAAAATAACATAAAACACACATATATACGAACACAAAAGAAAAATAAGGTCAAAGACAAGAAAAGTAAACGAAGTTTGTTTGTACCTACTGTTGAATATCGTGTAATATACTGTGAAAATCTCCAGCGGAGCTATCGGGTTCAAAAAAATATTGGGATTCCGACGAAATCTTTGCGCCGTACAATGTAACTCGTCAGGCTGATCAAGAAAATGTAAAAATCTCGAGGGTTGCTTCTCTAGAAATATTCTGTCAAATTTTGATATGATATACCGTGACCAAAAATGGTAGTAAATATCACGAGATTTCAGGAAAGAGGTTGAGAGCTGGGACTTTTCACGCGCTTCTTTACAGACGAAAATATTCAGCTAATATCTTTTTAGGTATTGAATGACAGGATAAATACAGTCTATTCTTAAGGTTGGATAAATTAGTTCCGGTAGTTTCTTAGTAAACTTAAATTAGAAATATTTCAGGGTTCGCATCAGTATTAAGTTTTTCAAATAGATACATTTAC